TACAAGACATCTTGTCAGTGCAAGGAGAAGAGCGTCCAAAACGTAGAGAGAGCAGCCGAGGGAGGAGAAACGATAACTCGGAGGTTTCAGGCTCGGGTGGTTGGAGCAGGGGCAGGGGTGAAAGCAGAAAGAGCAGCAGCAGCAGCAGCAGCAGCAGCAGCAGCAGCAGCAGCAGAAAGAGCAGCAGCAGCAGCAGCAGCAGCAGCAGCAGCAGCAGCAGCAGCAGCAGCAGCAGCAGCAAGAGCAGCAGCAGCAGCAGCAGCAGCAGCTACAGACCCGGTGGAGGACTGGAGGTTTGAGAGGATCTCGTCCTTGGCCAGCCTCAAGCTCTCAATGCTGTCATCGGGCAGCATCTCAGCTCCACACTTCCACACGAACGGGTGGAGGAACGTCCTGAGACCAACGGCTGTCACCATCCTCGCCCTGCTGCTCCCTGCCTGCCTCCCAGCCAGCCTGCCTCCCAGCCTTCCTCCCTACCTGAAGTAGGCGGGGAAAGCTCGGCCCTCGTACTCGCGGAGGTAGGAGGAGGCGAGCTTTCTCTCGGATGGGTCGAGGGAGATCATAATTCCTGCCATTTCCCTCACTGCCGCGTCCTTGATTTCTCCTGATAGCTGCGTCAACCAGAATCGCATCCCCTCCTCCTCCTCCTCCTCCTCCTCCTCCTCCTCCTCCTCCTCCTCCTCCTCCTCCTCCTCCTCCTCCTCCTCCTCCTCCTCCTCCTCCTCCTCCTCCTCCTCCTCCTCCTCCTCCTCCTCCTCCTACCCAACTTGAGCGAGGGATCGTATTCCCTCCTCCTGTAGGCGAGCAGCTGCGAGAGCGAGAAGATCGACTCTCCTCCTAGGAAGAGCTCGGCGATGACGCAGCCGGAGGAGAAGATGTCGATCGCGCAAGTCATCCCCTCCTGCTCCTCATCTCACCACTAGCACAACCCGGGCACCTCCCACAACCTTGTAGCGGGAGCCCTCAGGAGCGGAGGAGTGGAAGAACCGTTCGGGGGCGACGTAACAACGCTGGGAGCAGCTCAGCATGCCGATTGCGGTGTGAGGAGCAAGAGCAGACCTTGTGGTAGTCGTCGTCGAAGAAGTAGGACAGGTCGGCTGGGTTGTCTTCAGGGATGTACCCTGGTTTCAACCCGGTCAGATCGGACAAAACCAGCCAGTTCCACGAGGTGACGAGGATGTTGCTCGACTTCACGTCGCCATGGACGAGGCCAACACTCTCGCATTGCTCGAGTGCCGTCAGGAGCTGGAAGGTGAACCATTGTCGCTCCACTCGCGTTAGCAGCGGGCGCGACGCCATTCTTTCTCGCAGGCTGCGGTGGACGTAGGCGCGGACCAGGAACGCAGCTCGTTGAGTCTCGGGGAACCAGACGAAGGGGAGGACGTTGGGGTGAGGGATGGCTTGTAGCCGCTCCCTGATGCTCTCCAGCCTCTCTCCGTACTCCCGAAGCGACTGATTCATGTCTCGTTTGCTGTATGCTTTCACCACCACCATGCTCCCTCGGCGCCAGCACTGTAGCGTCTTGAGGAAGCGTCCACCACCGAGGACGCTGCCGAAGATGATGCCCTCCCCTCCCTCTCCATCAGCCTTGGGGAGTTCGGACATGAAGTCCACATGGAGTCTTGTTGCCAATTGGTTTCCCATCCTTGACTTTCTTCGGTCTTCGCTGCTCTAGCCTACAGCTTCCTCTACAACATCATCATCCTCTCTCTTTGTCTTCCAATCTCTCTATCCTCCTCCTCCTCCTCCTCCTCCTCCTCCTCCTCCTCCTCCTCCTCCCTGAAACTTCCCATGCAGCTTCATCGTCACCGTCACTCGGTGTTTATCCCCATTCCTTGTAACCGTTACAGACCCGTTTCATAGGGCCCCGGCGGACTCGGCGGGCTGAACCCCGGCGGCCATGCCATGGTACCGTTCACTGAGCTACTGTCATCCAAGTCAGCCCTCGTCCCCCCGCTGACATGTAAGCAGCGAAGAATGGGGCACAAAATGCTAACTTACGAGGAGTCGGGAGAGGAGGAGGAGGAGGAGAGAGGGAGAGAGGAGTGAGAGCGGGACAGGGAGGATGCTGAGAGAGAAGGAGGGAAGAGAGAAGGTGAGAAGGTGAGAGGTGAAGCAGAGGGTGCAGTCGCCTTTTACATCCAGCAATTGAACAAGTTCAAGTGTCTTTGAGCTGGTACGAAAGGATTCTGAGTCCCAGGAGAGCAGGAGGAATGTTTACGGTCAGGGGGCCATGCACCGAGGACGATGCTAAGATGCATCAAGGCTTCCTAGGAGTATGAGAGGCAACGGCGGCGAGGGAAAGGGGGGGGGGGGGGGGAAGAAGCGAGTGAAAGCGACGCATCCCTTTGAAATCGTTCTGACCGTTTTGTGGCTGCAGGAGGGTGTAGGAGCCGGCATCGAACACGCAAGAGGGTGATGTGAAAGAGAAGTCGTGCTCAGCTCGCTCAAGCCTCTGATATGAAGCTGCCATTTTACACCCTGTTCTTGATCGGACTCGTCGACTGCAACTATGTTGCCTCCATGCTGTGGCAGTTTGATGGATCGCAAGGCTCAACAAGTACCGTACAGAAGAGACATGTTGATCCAACAGCGTTCAGCTTTGCTTCCTTCTCCCATGTTTCTTCGCAGTGCAACTGGGGTCCTAGCTTAAGCGCGTTCCTATGTTCGCCTTCCCTTCCGCGTTTCTGCAATGCAGCTCGACCTCGACCATGCTCCTTGGCGTCTCATCTTGTTGCGAAGATGAATGAGAACAGGAGAAAGAGAGGGAAGAGCAAGACTTCTTCCCCTTCCCCTCACATTCATGCGCCTTCCAGCCATGGAGGCTCCAAGAATGGCACCATCATGATCGACAGGTCAGCAGCTCTCCAGGACCATCATGCGAGGTCTCTCAAGGACAGAAGTCACATGGTGTCTCTGCGCGATCAGAACCTCCATGAAGCAGAGCTCGAGCGCAAGGGTGAGGCCGCTGGGATGCAACAGGACAAGTCGATTGCTGACCATCCCAAGGGAAGGAACGAGAAGGGAGCTGAGCAGAGGGATCTGAGTGATCGGAAGCGTGAGGGACAAGCGACATCGGATGGGGATCATCGTAGCAACAAGCAGAAACCTGGCAGGATCGGCTCCTTGTACTCGGTAGCCCTGCAGCAGGTCGGGAGAAAGAACTACAAGGCGGCACGTAGAATGTTCTCGATGTTGTCAGAGAACCCTGAGTACAAGCATGATGGACGCATTTTCCTCTCTTGGGGAAGGATGGAAGCAAAGCTGAAGAACACATGGGCAGCTCGAAGAGCGTTCGGGACAGGCCTGAAGAGGATGCCTGAGAACACGCACATTGCCCATGCATGGGCGATAGAGGAGTTGAGGGGCGGGAACAACAAGGTCGCCCGCAAGCTGTTCAAACACGCGCTTGAGATGGACAAGAAGGACGGCCTCATCTATCAGAGCTTTGCCATGCTCGAGCAGCAAGAGGGAAACATCGAGGCCGCACGGCGTCTGCTCAAGGAGGGGACGGAGGCTGATCCCAACAACGTCTTCCTCTGGAGTGCCTGCGGAGTGTTCGAGTCGCGTCAGGCAAACTACGAGGAGGCAAGCAGGCACTTTGAGAAGGCCACGAGGCTGGGGCCCATGCACTGTCCGAGCTGGCAAGCCTTCGGGGTTGTGCTTGAGAAGATGGGGAAACACAAGGAGGCGGCAGAGAAGTTCGAGCAGGGGCTGCAGGTCGACCCCACGTCTGTCCCCACCTATCAGGCTTATGGGCTGATGGAGGCGAGACGAGGGCGACATGCCAAGGCTCGAGAGCTTTTTGAGAAGGGCGTGCGCATCGACCCCGGGCATGCTCCCATCTTCCACGCCTGGGCCTGCATGGAGGAAAGTCTGGGGAACTACGACACTGCACGCGACCTCTTCAACCAGGGGGTCGCCAGCGCCCCCTCGAGCGTCGCACTGCTTAAGGCATGGGCGCTGATGGAGCTGAAACTTGGGCACATCGACTCGTCCAACAACTGGTACGTCGACCCGAGGATGGGGAAGCGCAAGTTGACGGAGGTGACGGAGCGGCTGGAGATGCTGCGGTTGCTGATGGAGCAGCGATCGGAGGACGACCTGAAGCTCGTGATGCAGTGGCTTGAGGAGCAGAGGAACAAGAAGATCGAGAGTCAAGTAGACGACATGCTCGCACCCGGCCAGGGAGTCCCCAGCGACTGGACTGAAGGAAAACAGTTCGCGTTCAGTGGGGAGGACATGATTCATGCTGGAGAGACTGTGGTAGTTGACGTGGGAAAGGAGAGGAAGAAGCTCAAGTTGGGGCTTGTGCTGGAAGTTGTCGAGGACGTGAAGGTGCGCGAGGCAGGAGGGGACGCTGGTGGTTTCATGCTCATCAGCATGGTGGGGGGGAGCAAGAGCAGTAAGAAGCCTGTCAAGATCGGATGGCCAGGGAAGAAGGAAGAGCAGATTGTGGAAGTCCCTCGCCGCCAGGTCGGCAAGTTGCTCGTCGATCGTGAGCAGATGGTGCAGCGAGTGAGGGAGATGGAGAGAGAGGCTGGGGACGTGGACAGTTTCTCCCTCCATGACCAGCGGGAGGCAGACAGAGTTCGGCTGCAGGTGCTGATGGAGCGCTACGGTGAAGACTTCAACATCCTCCCCTTCCACTTGCGCGTCCAGGACGAGGAAAGTTGGGGAGAGGAGGAGGAGGAGGAGGAGGAGGAGAGGGAGGGATTCCTTGATATGAAGGCCAAGGAACAGAACAGCTCCATGATGATGCTGGAGCAGTGGGTGCATCGGCGATCTGACGACGACGTCCGTTCCTTCAAGGAGTGGTTCAACGAGATGTACGAGCGCGACCCCGGGGCCGGCATGAAGATGCTGAATTGGGACATGCCTCCTCCCTCTTCACCCCCTGCCTGGAGCAGTCCAGCAGCGCCCAAGGAGTGGTTCAAGGTCCAGCTCCCGACCTCGAAGAAGGACAACGATGACGTGGACTCGGCAGAGGGGCTGGTGCAGAAGATGGTGGCAGAGAAGGGGCTGAGGACGGAGTGGGTGAAGGTGGTGGAGTTCTCTTTCCTCGCCCTCGCCCTCTCCAGCATCCTTGCCGTCGGCCCCTCGTTCATCGACGCCTGGGTGCAGCGGGTTGACCCTTCCTCTGTGCGAGAGCCTCAGGGGCCCAGCGGGGTCGACGCGTTTCTGATCCAGACTGACTTCTCCAAGGATCGCCTCGTCCTTCCCAACGGCCTCGACGACTGCGACCACGTGCTTCCTCGCTTCATCACCCGCTGCTCACCCAGGGAGGGAGAAGTCAAGCCCGAGACAAGGCAGAAGGTCTTGAGCTGGATGGCGCAGGGGAAGGGAGATGCGGAGATTCTGAGCATGGAGGAGGTCAAGGGAGCTGGAGTCTCGAGCAGCCAAGTGCAGGCGATCAGGCAGGAGTTCGTGCAGGTCAAGGCGAGGAAGGATGCGTTGGGTCGAGCAGGAGGGGGAAGATGATGAGAGAGTGTGGCTCCTCCTCTTCTTTCTCCTCCTCCATCTTCTTCCTTGTATACTACTCACTTGAAGCGTTAAAAACTACTCAACGACTAATAACCTGTCTCCCTCTATTTCCTCCTCCTCTGACTCACTCGCTTCCTTTTCCCTGCCTCCTCTCCTCAACTGCTCGCCCCTCCCCTCATCCTCACAGCATCTTCTCTATACTAACAGGCCCTGCGCTTTCCTCGTTTCTCAGCACAAACACTGGCTGAATGTGCGAGTCGACAGACGTCTCATCCAGCAGCTCCCTCGTCATCCCCACCTGTTCACCATGAGCTCCCTCGTCCTCCTCGTCCTCCTCCTCCTCCTCCTCCTCGTCCTCCTCCTCCTCCTCCTCCTCCTCATCATCATCATCATCATCACCATCATCACCATCATCATCATCATCACCATCATCATCATCATCATCATCATCACCATCATCATCATCATCATCATCATCATCATCATCATCATCATCATCATCATCATCATCATCATCATCATCATTGTCGTCGTCGTCGTCGTCGTCGTCGTCCTTTTCCTCCTCCGCGATCTTCTCCTCCGTTTCTTACCTGACCCACGATGGTCCAGCCTTGCAACAGGAGCGGAAGTCTCTTTTTTCCATATTTCCTGCAACACGTTCATGTAAACAATTCTCGTTCTCGTCCTCCTCCTCGTCCTCCTCGTCTTCACCTATGTGCGTTCCACTTAATAAGGTCCATCCCAACCTGTCACAACATAATGAACCAGGAAGGGAAGGGGAAGGAAGCAGCAGAGAAGGGAGAGACCAAACGGAGGCATCGATGAAGGAGGCAGGAATGAAGAGGAGGAGGGAGCGAGGAGAGCAGATATGTCTGTCGTACAGGGACAGCAAGGAAAAGCAGCCCGCTCGGCTTGAGAATCTCTCGCATCCTCTTCATCGCCTTCAAGTCCCCGTCCGCATCCACATGGTCCCCGTATCTGCCACCGAGGATGAGCCAGAGAGGACATGTAGGATGGGAAAGGAGCAAGAGGACGAGCAGGCAGGAGGCAGGAGGCAGGAGGCAGGAGGCAGGAGGCAGGAGGCAGGAGGATGGGGGAAGGGGGGTGGGGGGGGGGGACCCATGAGATTGTTTCCTTCACCTGCCCAGCCCATCGTGCTCGAAGCTTGACATTGACAAGGCTACATCAAATCTGGACTTCTCCTGCATGTCATTGTACTGCGCGGGTAGTCAGCTGGAATACTGAGTTTGGAGGAGAAGAGGGATAGTGAGAGCAGGAATGAGTGAGGACGGGAACGAGAGCAAGGAGGATGAGGGGGGAAACTAGGACAGAGGAGGAGGAGGAGAAGCAAGAGGAGAAGCAAGAGGAGGAAGAGGACGAGGACGAGGACGAGGACGAGGACGAGGACGAGGACGCGGCATGGGGGAGTACTTCATCCATGGTGAAGGAGCGAATGTTGGGATGCTCGAAGTTCACGCGGTTGTACTCCAACGTGATGACTTGCGAGGCTCCTGCTGCCAGGCTCACAGCCTCGTACCTTCTCGCAACCGTCAGTCCCAGCTCTCTTCCAGCTGTTGTGCCACGTCCAGCTGACATTCAGGTCGAGGCACACCAGCTGGACTTCAGGTGAAGAGTATCAGACGGTCACCAGGGCTCGAGGGAGCCCATGATGACGACCGACATGCCCTGAAAGGATCCGCCGCTAAAGCGCTGAATGGCATCGTAGAGGTACCTGCGGGAGAGACAAGGAAACAAATCACAAGAGGAGGTGGTGAGCAGGAGTAGAAGGAGCAGGTGGTGGAGGAGCAGAAGCAGGAGGAGCAGGAGGAGCAGGAGGAGCAGGAGGAGCAGGAGGAGCAGGAGGAGCAGGAGGAGCAGGAGGAGCAGGAGGTGGAGGAGGAGCAGGTTGAAACGGAAGAGCAAATGAAATTGAGAATTTCCCCAACAGATCGCAACCCTCACTTGTCTGTATCCCCGTAGTATCCGACCTCCTGCTTCCTGGCTTGCTCAATCATGCGCTCAATCTGTTCGAAATGTAAATCAAAGCAGCTTTCCTCTCGTGTAAAACCCTCATCCTCCCTCAACAACTCCTCTCCTCGTGTACACTCCTCTTATCACCATGAAACACTGTTGTAGCTTCCCAGTCCTCCCTTGCTCTCTCTCTTGAACATTCTTCCTCGTTCCTCCTCTCATCACCCGCTGGAATGACGCATGGTAAGTCCCGTACGAGTAGTGGGATCGAGTCTCCGGCAGACTCTCGTCCACGTAATGCCTGCTGACCGATATCGCCCCGTTCTGCTCAATGCATCAATAAGCTTCAGGCGTTTTTTCCCTCCTGCTCGTCCTGCTCCTCCTGCTTCTCCTGCTCGTACTGCTCGTACTGCTCGTACTGCTCCTGCTCCTGCTCCTGCTCCTGCTGCTCCTCCTCCTGCTCTTCCTTCTCCTCCTCCTCGTCCTCGTCCTCGTCCTCCTGGTTCTCCTGCCCCTCCTGCCCCTCCTGCCCCTCCTGCTCCACCTCCTCTTGTCCTCTGCACCTCTACCCTTCCTTCTCCTCGTCTCCCTTCCTCCCCTCCATTCTATCCCTTCCATCCTACCATTGTAAACTTGTCGTAAAGGTCCTCCGGAATGTCCCAAGGAGGAGGATGCGGATTATTGCTTCTTCCCCTCAACGCGTTGTTTCGCCATACAACGATGCTGTAAAACAGTGAGCAAGGCTAAACTCTCTCGCCTTCTCCTTTCCTTCTCTTGACCCCTCCTCCCCTTCTCTCTCTCCGCTCCTCCCTCCCTTCCCCCTTCTCTGCTCCTCCTCGAGGAATCTAACTTGTGCAGCGGAAGGAGCACTTTATCTTCAAGCTCCTCATACTGTCTGAACAGCTTCGCAACAATGAAAGGGTCCGTCCCTTCCACCCACGAAAGCGCTCCTGGCGCCTATGAAAGAAGCAGCATCAGGCAGGAGACTGAAAACTTTAATGAAGTTGGGGGGTGAAGGGTCCGCATCGAGCGAAGAGAAAGAGATGAAGGGCAGCTGGAGAGGAAAGAGACGATGGAACAGAAGAGGAGGGGGGAGAGGTGAAGAGGAGGAGGGAGGGTCAGGACAGTGGGGTTGGAGAGGGGGCGGAGAAGGACTTGTCAGGGAGAGTTCGATACCTCCATGGAGCCTAATTTGATCATGTAGGTGTTCCAGAACTTGTTTGGATTTTCGACCTGCAACGTGTCTCAACTTGCTGCGAGTGAACACAACCTCCCCTCCCACCTCGCTCCCTCGTAAAATCGACCTTCCCCATCCTCTTCCTCTCAAACCTCTTACCTTCTCGCATCCTTCAATCACTACTATGTCCACCTTCTCCATGTCACGCAGATGGCTCAAGGTACCATCGGAAGATATTTCATAGCCCAAGTCTCCTGCAGACATTCAAAAGTGAGAAATCCTTGACTGCAGTAGTAACACGATTGATGTCCATGGTTGAAATGGACACAGCATTGTCACTCTGACTATCAACCGATCTGACACCAATCTTTACATTCTCTGGGAGAAATTTTTACCTTTGTTCTCCAAAAGACTACCGCAGAGTCCATACTGCAGAGAGAAAATCTGCACGACCCCACAATCTTCGATGCATGTCAACATAGCAGATGATGAAGAGAGTTCTGAGTGTAACAAGTACCACTGTCAGGGCTGTCCTCGCCGTTGAGCAGTCCTTGGAAGCACCACTTGCAGTTGATGTCTTGCTGCAAGAGCATCAACTTTGACCTCCTGGTTGTTGTCGCATGCTCACAGTGTTGATGTTGGGGCAGAGATGAAGCATCCGCTGTAGCAAGCGATCAGAACAAACTTGAAGCGATATGCGTGCTCAGCCTCACATCTCTTGCAGCACCAGCATGAACATCACTTGAGTTGTTTGCCAGTAGTCTTCATCATCACAGGACCCGCAAAGATTGACAAGTCAGCACAGCATGATGCTTGTTTGGACTTTCCCCTCCCCTTCCCCCGTCTCCCTTCCCTCCTCCCCTTCCCTTCCCTTCTCCCTTCTCTCTTATCCCTTCTCCCTTCTCCCTTCTCCCTTCTCTCTCCCTCCTGATCCTCTCCACTCCTCCTTCGTCGAAATGAAGCTTCTCACCTGTCGACCCTCTCCAGAGCTCCTCTCAGGTTCCCTACGGCCTACTGGAGTCAGGGTTCAGGGAAGCAAACTAGCTCAGCTACCTCCATGGCCAGAGCCTCGTCGAGCTCTTGGAGGACAAGGGGTGGGGCTCGTAGCTCCTCTTCCTCCGCTGCTGCTGCATCTGCTGCGAGGAGCGGGAGGAGGAGCGGGAGGAGCAACACTGCGATCCTCCTTCCCCCCGCCCCCACCATGGCGCGAAAAAATTCTCGGTCAACCGGATTGAGTGAAAATTCTACCGGAGGCCATGCAGTCGGCAGGGAAGCTGGCCATGGCGGCGGCGATGGCGGCGGCGACGTTGGCGATGGTTGACGGATTTGCGCTGAATGGAGGGATGGCAACATGCGTGTCTGCGATGAGAGCGGGAAGGAGCTCTTGTGTGAGTGTGAGGGCAGGGAGGAGATCAGCATCGCCGACTATGGCAGAGGATTTTTCGGCCAGCAGGAGGAATGTCCTGTTTGGCCTGGGGGCGGCGGCGTTTCTGTTCGTATCCCCTGCGCACAGCAAGGATGCGATAAACGACTGCGAGAAGTGGGCTCCTGGTAGGAAGTGGATCACAGGGAAGAGCTGTCAGGAGAAAGGAAGCAACGTGCGGAAGTAGCCCAGGGTTGGAGGGACATAGCTGAAGTATCTGGCAGGAGGTGAAGGGGACCAAGAAGGATCCCAAGTATCTTCGATCGATCCAGAACTGCCGGTCCAAGTGCCAGGCATCGTCCGTCTGCTCTCTGTGACCCTCAGCTCACGATTCCTCTCCTGCAGGCGTCCGTAATGACCGGGGAGGCAAAGACGACCAACGACTGCCTCAAGTCCTGCAGGTCCCAGCAGCCTCTCTCCCCTCCCTCCCCCTCCCCTTCCCCCTCCTCTCGCATGCTGCCTCCCTCCTCCCTGCTCTCCCCGCGCTACTTCCCTCCCTTGTCTTCACACGGATATCAGGAACGAGTACTGCACCACATACGAGCAGTGCACGTATCAGATCGGGCCCAAGGAGGACTACGGAGGTCAGTGGAGAGCCACTGGGACTGACGCGCTGGCTGGACTGACGAAACTGCGTCAGGGTTTGTGTTCTGACCTTGACAACACGGGCATCTTGCTTCAATTGAGTGTATCTAATCACAGAACAAGTCTCTCCATCTATATGATACAGTATTCAACCGCGTCTGCCCTGCTCCTCCCCCCCTCACCCCCAACCCTCTGCTCTTTCAGAAGTCCTGTCTACTCAGACAAGCGCGGAGGTCTTTGGTCGAGCCTGCTTCTTCATCGCCTTGTTCTTCTGCCAGTACCCCTTGGGGAGCAGCGCCACCCCCTTCCCCAGTCACCGAGTCAGTCCTTCCAGCGGTGGTTCCCTCCCCTTCTAGCACCCCACTCCCCCTCCCTGCCCCTCGTCTCTCCTTCCCCATCAATCATCCCCTCCCTCTCCCCCTTCCCCCCTCATCATTCCCCTCTTCAGTCTTCTTCCATCCTCCTCCTCCTGCCCTTCTCCTCCGCCTCTCAAGCTTCCATCCTGAACTCACCGGAGGTCCGTGATTCCCGACACTGGCCGGGACGCCCATGATGCCGTGCGGGCCCCGGGCCTTGAGGTCGTTGTAGTTGGAGAACCCTTCAATGCCTTCGGTCTCAGTGTGGAAGCGACCGTAGGACATTAGGATCTCGTCCGTCATGATCAGGATCTTGTACTTGTGGTCCTCCCGGTCCCTGGCCTGCTCGGCAGGAGGGTCAGAGTCTGAGGGGGAGGGCAAGGGGAGCGATCACGAGGGATGGATTGATCTCGCACTGCTCATAGTTGATGTAGGCAGGGTTGACAGGCTCTCTGAACCTGGTCTTGGGTCTGTTTCCGAGCATCCGGTTGTACTCCACGAGGTACTGCGGCGGTTTCCTCTCCTCCTTCTTCTCCTCCATGCTCGCTGTCCAAGGGCAGCTTGTGAACGGCTTCATGCTCGCCCTCGGCCTTGCACGTGGATGCCAAGTCAGGCTTCACAGCAACCAGGAGCGATCCCGTTACCTGTATCGCGCGTTCCATGGGTCATTGGTGGAGGTCATGACAGACTTGTTGCGGTTGCTACAGGAGCTGGTGAGCTGTAGAAAAGAGAGAAAGGTCACTCCCACGTGCAACACACTTTGCGTATGTGGTCATTTGCGTTTCTGCATGATCAGGATCTTGTACTTGTGATGATCAGGATCTTGTACTTGTGGTTACTTTGCGTTTGTGCATTTGCACAAGCTAAAATCCTGCGCGTCTGTCCATGGCAAATCCCTCCAATGCACCCACGGACTCTCCCTCTATTTCTCCCTCCCTCCCTCATCTTCCTGGCTTCCTTTCTCCTTCTCTTCTCTTCCATTTTCCCCTCTCCACCGTAACGCAACCGACAGTTCTGACAGGTGCGCTACAAAAGGAACCGGCACAAGGAACTGATCAGTCAAAATTGACTCAAACCGTTGAAATGCCGCAGTGCAACGCCGTTACAACTGATCGTCACGGTCACAGTCGGAGTCTTTTTACTCAAAGATCAGTTAAAAATCAGTAAGAGGACGGTTCACAATCAGGAGAGCGCCATGCCAACCGCCCGCCGATACGAGTCGCTGTTGCCGTCCGGCGTCGGAGGAGTGAGATGCATCACTGCAGTCGGAAGCCGGGCCTGTGACTCATTCAATGATTGGCCCGGCCGCGGCGGCCCTGGCATAGCCTACTAGGCCCTAGTAGAGCTCAGCTGGCCCGACCGAACTTCCGAAGTTCCGGGAATCACCGGCGGCCCCCGGAGCGAACTGATCGGCCCGGAGCTGAACTTGGGCTGTGTTTCAAATACGGGACTCGGGAGCAGTGATAGGACCGGTTTAGTGGTAACTTTTAGGACTGATACAAAATTTAGAACTCCCTTCGTTAGCTAGCCTAAGTTTCTTGAGCCTGAGTCCAGAGCCTTAAATGTATTTCGCTGCTGAGCTTGGAAATCAGACGTAGAGCCAGTGTTGGTTGTGCTGGGCTGAATGCCGAAGATTGATCTATCATTGAGTTGTGAGAAGGAGTTTGGAAGTCACAAATAATGAAGGCTTTCGGATAGAAGAGACGAGGATGCCATTTCAATCCTTATACCCCGTTGAGGTGCTTCTGATTGATCCTGAGCTTTTACTGTCTTCGTCCGTCCACTCCATCTGGATCTTGACTGTCGTATTCGCTGCGCTCTTCGGAATCTGCCTCAGAGCTTCCCTCCTCCTCTGCCTCAGAGCTTCCCTCCTCCTCTGCCTCAGAGCTTCCCTCCTCCTCTGCCTCAGAGCTTCCCTCCTCCTCTGCCTCAGAGCTTTCCTCCTCCTCTGACTCAGAGCTTTCCTCCTCCTCTGCCTCAGAGCTTCCCTCCTCCTCTGCCTCAGAGCTTCCCTCCTCCTCTGCCTCAGAGCTTCCCTCCTCCTCTGCCTCAGAGCTTCCCTCCTCCTCTGCCTCAGAGCTTTCCTCCTCCTCTGACTCAGAGCTTCCCTCCTCCTCTGCCTCAGAGCTTCCCTCCTCCTCTGCCTCAGAGCTTCCCTCCTCCTCTGCCTCAGAGCTTCCCTCCTCCTCTGCCTCAGAGCTTTCCTCCTCCTCTGACTCAGAGCTTTCCTCCTCCTCTGACTCAGAGCTTTCCTCCTCCGCCTCAGAGCTATTCTCCTCAGTCTCAGAGCTTTCGTCCTCCTCACTGTCTTCCTCGGACTCAGACTCATCATCCGATGAATGTTCTTCTCCTTCCTCCTCGTCTTTGTGATGGTCATCGCTGTATTCGTCGTCGTCATGACCCTCATGCTCGTCCTCATCTTGGTGGGTATGACTCCTGGTGGTCAAGGCTCCAGCGCCAGAGTTATGAGTGATTGCGGGACGATGTTTTGGTTCCCTCAATGCATGCCGCCTCTGTGTAGATAAGAAGAAAGTCAAATCAACAGAATGCAGGAAAAAGGCACGAAATGCTTCATTTCACCTGTCGTCTTTCCTTCACTGAGCTTTCCTCAGCTGAAAACATATTAGGATTAAGACGATCTTCGGTATCAAGTCAATCAGAATAACCTGAAGATTCATAGCTCGATTCCGTTGATGAACTGGACACAGAGCTAGTAGAATCTGTGCTGGTAGAATCTGTGCTTGTAGAATCTGTGCTTGTAGAATCTGTGCTGGTCGAATCAGTGCTGGTAGAATCTGTGCTGGTAGAATCTGTGCTGGTCGAATCTGTGCTTGTAGAATCTGTGCTAGTAGAATCTGTGCTAGTAGAATCTGTGCTGGTAGAATCTGTGCTAGTAGAATCTGTGCTGGTAGAATCTGTGCTGGTAGAATCTGTGCTAGTAGAATCTGTGCTAGTAGAATCTGTGCTTGACTCAGACAGACTTGATTCTTTGTCAGAAGTATTTTCTTTATCGCGCCGTCCACCCCTCAGGTGCAATGCCACACCGTGGTCAGAGAGGCCAGGAAGCGGTCTAATGAAGCAAGACGACTTTCTCAAAAATGTCGCAGTGTAACACGAGTTTAAGTTCAACGGCATGCGCCTCAGAGCCAGACTGCCAGCTGAATCTCTTGCAAACGTTTGCCTGGCAGACAAGGCCTCCCTGTCAAATTCACCGTACTGTGAAGCTCCAGCATAGTGCACAACAAGTAAGATGGGCAACACAATAGAAGCTGTAAGAGTAAAGGCCCTCGGGCGATCTGAGATTTTCTCCGCCATCGCTCCGTAAGACACCATCCAGTCGAATCCCTGCCAAGCACGAAGCAAGTGAGTCCCTAAGAAGAGAAAGACAGAAGTGCAAGCGCTGCTGTTTTCTTCGGATTGAGTGTTCAAGATGTTAAGACGAAATGATACAAACATTGTGTTGGTGGTTGCAAAGTAGAACATGGCAGGGGCCGAAGTGAAACTTGAGTGAGCGGCGATGCGAGGGAATCCCGGCGTGCACAGGGAGAAAGCATGTGTATGTACAAACACAGGGCGCTATGATCCTTTCAAGGGAGCTTGGGATCAGGGCAAGGAAAAGCAGACATAGGTGATTGGTACATGCGATCAACACAAAGACAAAAATGAAACATGAATAGCAGGTAAGTAATATGATCTTACACTTTGCGAGATCTAGGAGAGGCAGCAAAGGGATGCAGGTGTGTGTGTGTGTGTGTGAGTGAGTGAGTGAGTGAGCGGTGGAAGAATCTTGAAGGTGAGGAGGAGGAGAGATGGAAGAAGAACACGTGGGCAAGTAGGTAGAACACGCGCATGAGCATGACGATCGCATGTTCGAATTTGGCGCCATGCCAGGGATACGTCCGTGATGCTCGAGGGTGAAGGGTAGGAAGTAGGTCCTAAGATGGGTAGGGGTACAATGAATGTTGTTTTGATAGGGGTGGGGTACAAAATACACCGTGTGTCAGCACGACTTTGGGTAGGGTAATGCAGTAGATAAGATATTTCATAGTGGGTGGGGTATCGATGAATTGTCATGAAGGTGGGGTACTGCAATCGTAGGAGGGTAGATGGGTTTAGTTCAGTGTGGTTTATCTTTCAAATGTTTTCTTTCCACCCACCCCATCTAGAACAAGACTTCATACCCCACCTTAGATAATTAATGATCAATTCAGTATGAAGTAGGGGTATAAAAGCATCTCGTACTACCCCAGGTACCTCATTCAGAACCAGTAGGAATTGGCTACCCCTACCCCAGACCTTCCTGTCATCTTGGTACCCACTCTCCTTTATTAGAACAATTTTCCACACCCCTGGAATATGTACCCCACCCACTTCTTGCCCACCAATAACAAACTTGCTCGGATTCTATAACCCCTACCTAATTGATTCCACCGGTACTTCCACCCTACCCTGCAGATGATTACCCTCGGAATTCGATACCCACCCCCTTGTTTCAACGTTGTCGGGCTGGTTCAAACTGATCCTTGAGGTAGGGTCCGATTAAATCTTGAGGGGTAGTAGGTTAGAGTAAGGGGTCATTTAAACTATATAATGTAGGTGAAATGCAGGGGTACTTTGTGAAAAGAGAGGGTCCAATCAAAAATCAAGGGGTGGCTTTCTGAGGGGTGGTGGCTGTGGTTGACGATGGTGGGGCGGGGCGGGTGGCGATGGCAGGAGAAGGTGGAAGAGGCGACGATGGAGAAGATCAGGGCAGAGGGAGTGAGCGTGAAGATCCTGATGGAGCTCAGCAGAGAGGAAATGGTCAAAGAGTTGAGCCTCTCCGAGGTGCAGGCAGATGCTCTGGTTGCCACGATGAAGGAGGAAGAGGAAAGGCTTACAAGCGTGAGGACCTGGAGCGAAGAGGAGGTGGTGGAGTGGCTAGGGTCCCTAGGAAAAGAATTTGCTGCGTACGAGGATAGCTTTCTTTTTCACAATGTCAATGGCGATCTATTGCTGGATCTCACCGCCGAGGACCTGGTAAGGGCGACTGGAAAAGTTTGAACTGACCCAGGGTTGCTTCGCCTCCTTCCTTCGTCCATCTCTATTCCGTGCTTCATGTCCATATATCTCCAATGATCTTGCAGCCCGAGCTTCCTTTCATCATCCCATCTCCTCAGAAGCGACCCTGCGTGTTCCTAACGACCCCTGAAATCTACATTGCTAGGTTGATGACCTTGGAGTCGACAAGCTAGGGCACAGGATGCAGATCTTGGATGAGATTGCCTACTTGAAGAAGATCTGCTACAAGTCAGCACGCAGCTCAAAGGGCCTCGCGCGCAACCAGATGAACCTGCCGTCGTTTGATGAGATTGAGAATTTGAAGCGGGTGAGAAGATACAGCTGTTGCTCTTGCTCTTGCCGTGGCCGTTGCCGTTGTAGCTCCTAGCGCGTCGATGGGGATGAACTTGCGCGTGTTTGCGAGCAAGGCGAGCAAACAGACGTGTTTGTGAACGTGTGTATTTGCAGCAAAAGGCTATACGACTTCAGAGCAACCTGGACGTCCTCAAGCACAAGGTTGAACGAGAATGGCAGGAAGTTGTTTCATGCGGTTGATGGGGATGGTGCTGCAGGTGAACCAGATGAGGGATGCTGAGGCCAAGGCAAAGTTGCTCGCCCGTCAGGTCCTAGCAGCAGCCCGTGCTTTCTTCGAGATGAGTGTCTGGACAGGCGGAGGCAGAAGCTGGGAAGATCCAAACGCAGCTGAGGAGGCTGAAGACGGAACCGAAAGAGCAGGGCAAGAATGGTACCTGGACTCTCTCAGGGGTGGTGGCGGTGGTGCTCATGTTTGGAGCAGACAAACTCAACAAGCGAGGAGTCGTGAGGGGGTGGATGGAGCAGGTCCGGTCCTGACTTGTTGTCTGGTGAGCCTTACAGCCCGGGCAGTGCACGTTCAAACCGAAGTTGAACCCGACGTCGCTGGAGATTGTCGAGAGGACTTTTGGTCGGTCACTTCAGTAACGGCTGGGAGAGGCTAAGGGGAGGTGGCAGGGGACAGCGACATCCATCGGAGATTCGAGTCTCAGAAGGCTACAAAGGTCGATGAGCAGGAGGAGAGGAGGCGGAGGAACAATGACGGGTGTGACAGGAGAAAAAGCTCAAGGAACTGCAGAAGATGCTCTCTGCGGTACAAGGCTGATGGTCTCTCTAAGAGGGGATGTGAGCTGTGAGGTCAGGACGACAAGACCGAAGCTGAGTTGAGAGAGAAGTACATGAAGTACTTCCAGGAGAAGCTTGAGTGGGACACGAGGTGAAAGTTCCCTTCCGTCATGACAGGTTGTGACTCGTGTCAACCCTCCCCAGCTCGGGAGTGCAGGAGAGCAAGGTCGACTCGTTCCTGTCCAACCCGGCAGCGTACAATGTTGAGGTATCGCTGCTCCTCACCCTCCAGCGTCGACTGAGCTTGTCCTTTGCTGGGCAGTTGACAGACAAACAGATCAGACACATCAGGTCAGGTCGCCCTGTGACGGGAGCTCAGGGCTGATCAGCTCGTTGCAGGAGACTGAAAGGAGCTCCACAATATGTCGCCATCTACCACGCGTGCTTGATCAGCGATTTCCTGCAGAGGAACTGGCTGGTGCAGCTGTCTCGATGTGGAGCTGGTCCGTCCTGCTGATGATCGAAGCAGAAGGCTGCAAACGAAGCGAAAGCGAAGTCGGAAAACAAGCAAGCAGCCACGCTGAAACAGCCGAACAAGCTAGGTGATGACGGCGGGATGGGAGGCGAGGGAGTGAGGTGAGAGTATGAACAGACAAGTACTTCATCGAACGCTTCAAGTGGAAGGAGGTGTGAGGCGTTGAAGGAGCAAAAACGAGGAGAAGTGAAAGCTGCAAAACTTTACAGGTCAACAACGGCAGGCTTGATGACCTCCTCGACAACAGCAAGGGTGAGATGATGGTTGAAACTCCTCCTCCTCTGATCCCATCGAGCAGCCTACGAGCTCGAGCTGTCCGAGCAGCAGCTTGCTCACTTCCGCAACCTTGAGGTGTCTAGCAGAAGCTCCCGACCTTGCGATCCTCCTCCCTCATCCTCTCCTCTCTCCCTCCTCTCTCTTCCTCTCCTCTCATCCTCCTCCCTCTTCTTCTCTTATCCTCTTCTCTGTGCGTCTTTTCTCCTCCTCCTCCTGTTTCTCGAGCTTGTCCCTCCTCACCTTATCCTCTCTCTTCCTCCTGTAAACTCTCTCTCAATTCTTCTCCTCAATTTCTTCTGCTCTTCCCTCACCCTTCCCCAGGTTTCCAAGAAGAAGCATGCAATCTTTCAAGCCTTGCAAACTCAGTCGTTCTTAATGGTCAGTCTTAGATCACTCGCTCCTCCACCACCACCTCCACCTCTTCCTCTTCTTTGTCCTCCCCCCTCAGGCCTTGCCGTGTAGAGGAACGCAGCCGACGTCCGGAGACGTGAGCAGGCCCAGCTCAAGGCCTTCGAGGTTCCGCGGGTAGATCCTCTGCCGGACTTCACTTACCTCTTGACGTCCTTGGAAGCCGTACAGTGCTGTGAGCGGCAGGGGAGGAAGGAATGTCGTGCGAAGCTTCCTGGAAAGGTGATAAAGGAGGAGGAGCAGGAGAAGTCTGAAGGGGACGAAGGTATCATCAAGATATGGAGACGCGGCAAGAAAGGAAGAAGGCGCTGGTAGACAAAGTGAAGGTGCCTGTATCTTCCACAGGAGGAGGAAACGAGCCTGACTGTTTCCTGGTAGAAGGAAGACCCGAACTTCAAGGAGTGTACTTTCCGTCCCAACCTGCATGCCAGGAGCGAATCGCCAGAATTGGCGGAGAACTTCGCGGAGGAGCAAACAGCATGACAGTGCTGATGCTTTTCGGTCTCGTTGTTAATTATTCTTGTACAAGTGAAAGTGAAGGTAGAAGTTTCATTCTCACTCCCCTCCTCCCTCTCTCTCCGTCTCCGGCTACCCAGCTCACTTGCCAGCAGCGATCATCTCGTAGGCCACCTGCCGCAAACTTCAGCGAGGAGGGAGGCGAGAGGGGAAACCTTGAAGGTCATGATGGCGAGAGGGAAGTCACCCAAGTGGGAGAAGATGCCTACAAACGTTTCAGCCTCCTCACCCTGTCCCACCTCCTTATCGATCTCACCTCCCACCATCCTCCCCTTAGGCCCGTTGTTGGCGTAACCGTAGCCGTACAGGAAGCGACCAACCACCTTCGAAGCAAGTCACTCCCTCCCTCTCTACCTACCTACCTCCCTCCCTCCCCCTCCATCCTCCCGTCCCTCGACTCTTCTCAACCTATTCCCCACTCTCACACCCCTCCTCCTCTCCGCATTCTCTCATACCCAGATTCCTCCGCAGACAGCAGAAGTCAAGGGATACTTCAATCCGCACAGAAGCATCTGCATCATGACCATGGGGAAGGACTCGAGGGTGTTCTGGTTGCGCGATCCGTCAGTCACTGAGAGCCAGAGGAACTCGAGCAGAGGGAAGGGGAAGGAGAGGAGAGGTGGGGGCAGGAGTGTGAGAAACTTTGAACAAAAGCTCTCGGGGCATGTAAATCATTCGAATATGGACGTCAAATCACGAGAGAGGGCATTCGAGGATACTTGCTAATCATCTACACCTCTGCTACCTTTCCTCTCCCGATCCTTACCTCTTAACCCTTTTCTCTCCTCCTCCTCCTCCTCATCATCATCATCATCATCATCATCATCATCATCATCATCATCATCATCATCATCATCATCATCATCATCATCGTCATCATCGTCATCATCATCATCCCCTCCCCTCCTTTTCTCCTCCTCTTTTCCTCCTCCGTTTCTTCCCTCCTCCTCTCCTCCTCGTACCTGATGAGCACGCTGGACGCAGTTGAACGCTTCCTCGTGCTTATGGCCTGCAGGAGCATAGAGGAGAGGGTACTCGACCTTGAACCTGAGGACAGGGTTTGAGCCAAGAAGTTGGGAGAGGAGAGGAAAAGAGAGGAGAGGAGAGGAGAGCGAACAAGATAAGAGTTGATAGAAGGGACTGATGGGACTCACTTCTTGCGAGCAGTCACCACATTGATGGTGAGGTACATGTTGAGCAAGAAGCTGCCGCCAACGACGGCAACGACGTATCTGCCAAGTCCATCAGCTTCCAACGAGATGATCATATCCACCCATCTCCTCGTTCATGGTTTTGCACAGGACAAGATCTGTGCGGAATTTGTACAAGGTATTGATTAACCTTGTTCAGGATCTTGAGCACCACCGCATCTCTTTCATATTTGATCATTGTTCGCTGCTTCGAAATCTCCTCTTATTCCTCCTTTTCACTTGACCCGATCTTCTCATCAACTGCTCCTACTCCTCATCATACGCATACTGCTGTCGACCTTCCTTCATTCTTTCTGTTCTGCTCTTCTTTCTCCATCTCAGCTTCCCCTTACCCTTACCCTTACCCTTACCCTTTCCCCTCCTCCTCCTCCTCCTCCTCCTCCTCCTCGTCCACTCACCCATATCCCTTGGGCAAGCTCTCCATCTTCGGCGGTGATCGATACCCCCCCCTCTCTACCCCACCTCACTATGAAGCCTTGCATCCCCACCGGTTCAAAAGAGCAACCAATGACCCCTCACCCCACCTCTTTGATAACCTACCCCCTCAATTAACTTAGAAGTACCCCTGTAAATTATAGATCAATCGGCATCAAAATGACCCCTACCCACTCATTTTCATACCCCTATCCCCTTGGACACTTTACTCCAACCCAGAAGGTCCGCTCTCCTTGGAGTCCACCACCCCTCCAGAGAATCTTTTGTACCCCTTACTTCTACTGATTGTACCCCCCTTTTGTAGACCACCCTATACCTGAGTACCCACCCCTTTCTACCACCTCTGATCATTGCAGTGCCCCCGTTGCTTCGAGAACGCGACCACCACTCCCACAAAATCAATATTAGTACCACCCGTGGTATACAAGACCCCTACCATTTGAATGATCACCCCTCGTAATTAGAATATTTTCAATTCAATTGACCCGGGTCATTTACACCCTTACCCCCTTTGAAAAGCTCAATGTTTGGACACCCCTCGATCCCTTTAGACCCAGAAGAAATGATTTTTTTCGAAGAAATTTTTACACGCCAAACACGCCTTGATGACTGAGCCGGAAGATGCGGCATGGAGAGACAGGGACAGGAGAGGGGCAGAGACATGGAGTGGGACAGTGAGTGGGTGGAACTTAGGAAGGGAGAGGGAGAGGGAGAGGGAGAGGGAGAGGGAGAGGGAGAGGGAGAGGGAGAGGGAGAGGGAGAGGGAGAGGGAGAGGGAGAGGGAGAGGCGGAGTGCCGATGTTTCTGTAGAGCTTGCACAGTCTGCATTTATTGCTGTGTGATCTATATCGCAAGGAAGGTCGAACATGCAAGAAGCGATCTTCCTCTGACCCGGCATTTTGCACCACAATGCTCGTGAGTTCGGGCCACCTTTGCCCGGCTCTGCCGCACCAAAGGTCAGGGTAGCCAGGGGATGATCGCAAGAGGAGCAGGGAGGCATGAAATGAAGCAGAATTGCCTGTTGCTTCTTGTCTCTCCCACATCAACTGATCATGTTAGTGTATACATCAAGCTGGTTGCATCAAACTACTTCTTGCTCCATACATTCTTGAAATGCATCTGAGTTTCGTCTCAAACGCTAGCCCACTAAGTTGATCGGGAGAGCTGTCAGGGTTGCTCAACCTAGGATGTTCTCGTCCCCAAGTGAGACAGCATTGAGAGATGGATGAGATCCGCAAAGAAAGACAATTCGCGTTGCGGCTTTGGTCGAGCATGTGATCAACTTGTGGGAGAAGGTGCTCCTGTTACTGCCGCAAGGATGTCTGCATGCAGCGGAGGTGAAGTCGTGTCGTTTGAGGTGAATTCCTCTCGTTGAAATCTCCTCTTCTCTAGTGCATGCTTGCTGCGGCTTTCTCCCTCTTTTCTCGGCCACTCTTCACCTGCTTCTCGACGATGCACAAACATGACAGATTCAACTTGCAGATCGTCGGGACAGGAGGAGGAGTGGAGAACATCTCTGTTGAGCTCCGATGATCTTGCTCCATACATGATGAGCTCGGGAAAGGAGGCGGGTTGACAAGAGGATCAAACTTAGAGTAAATCGGCACAAATCAAACAAGATTGGACGCCAAGAGAGCTGCTGCGAGATTCTCTCATCCTCCTCCTTCCTAGCGATCACTCGCTCGTCCAGCAGTCCTCGTCGCCCTGGCAGACCTTCTGCTTGGCCTCTGCCATCATGGCGATGAAGTTGAGGAGCTCTTTCCTCTCGTCTTCCGTCCCTTCCACAGTCACCACCCTCAGGCTGTGCCGAGTCATCAGCTCGTTAATTTCAGCCGTGGACATGGTGAAGTGTGCAAGAGCGACTTTTTCGTCCCCCTTGTTGCGCATGCCGGAGGAGAAGAACTGAAACGTGTGGAAGTTCGAGAGCTGCCAGTCCAGAAGGATCCTGGCGGCCGAGAGGTCGGTACACTGCTCGGTGCGCCGGAAGAGGACGGCGAGCTGGCTCGTGATGTTGCGGAAGTTGAAGAAGAAAGCAACGATGTGGACAAGGGAACAGATGATGTTGAGGGGCGTGAGGAAGGCGAGGTCGATCCTGTGCTCGACGTCAAGCATGCAGATGCGGTCATGTTCCCCACCTCGAATACTCCTTGGTGATGCTGTGAATGTCCAGCAGCCACCTCCTGCTGGACCTGCCCCGCAGCCTCTGCGACCAACGTCAAGGGAGGACGGGAGGACATGGAGGAGGGTCTGTGCCTGGTATGTGTCGGTCATGAGCGCGATGAGGAGGTTGAGGAGGATGACGTTGAGCACGACATAAGTCAGGATGAGGAAGCCGATGGAGGCGTCTGCGAGAGGGTTAGAAGGATGCGGCGGGGGGGGGGGGGAGGGAGAAGGAGGAAGAGGTTGAAGAAGGGGGGCAAGGAGGGAGGAAGGGGAGAAAGTCGAGGGAAGAGGGAAGAGGAGGGGGGAAAGCAGCTTGTCGCTCTTACCGTTTGTCATCTCCTCCATGTGTATGTCACCCCATGACTGCTGGAGGGTCAGGCTGAGCTGTCAGCGAGCAAGGGAGGAAGACCAGGAGCATGGCACGGTAGATCCACCATGTTGGATAGCAGGTGATGAAGTTGTAGTTGTCAAGCTGATCCATGTCAACATGGCAGTTGTCCTGAAGAGCCTGGAAGAAGGTGAGAACTGATCGCTGGGCGCTGAAGAACCTTGGGGAGAGTTGTTCCCAGCATGAGAACGGCGAGAGAGAGGAGGATGATGAAGTACCTGCGGGAAGACATATCAGAGAGGTCAACAAGGCGAGGGAGTTGAACAGGGTTACTGAGAGAGAACAAGCTTACAACAGATAAACAAGTGCCGAGGGAGAACAAGAAGCTCTCTCCAACTTACAAGAAGACAAACTTGATGATGTCAACAAACATCTTGAAGATAATCCATACCTGTTCGCACGCACCTTCAATCCTCACAAGGCCGACCTCCTCCACCATCTCACCAGGATGCCTATGTCCTTGTGGGCAAGCACGAACTGAAGGAGGCGGAGGTAGGTGAAGAAGAGGCTGAAGCAGTAGCACAGCCTGAAACTCAAGTACGGCGTCGAATGGCCGATCCTGTCAAAGTGTCAACGGACCGGTGGCACTGGAGTCCTCCTCCTCCTCCCTACATGTCGGCGGTGAAAGAAATCTCCTGACAGTCGTTGTTGTCCATTGTGCAGTGAGCATGCAGCAAGAATCCGAGGATGTAAGATACGAAGGCTCCGATCTCCAAGATGTTCCTGCAGGTGCTGACATGTTACAATCTCGCTTAGAGTTGTGGAGAAACCAACCAGATGGAGTAGAAGTACTCGCGCCATCCCTCCAGGAAGAGCTGGATCAGCTCACGGATAATGGAAGAGATGTAATGTCTGTTGCCAAGGGAGGAGAGCACAAGGATGCGGCGAGAGGTGGAGAAATGTTAGAGAAGGGTTGCAAGAAGAAAGTGGGCACTTAGGAGCGGATGAGAAGAGGAGAGGGCGGTGGGAGAAGGTGGAAGGGAAAAGAAGAGGAGCTTTAGGGGGACAAGAACAAGAACAAGAAGAGATGGAGGAGATTGCAGATGACGGAAGGAGGAGCAAGAAGACGAAGACGAAGAAGGAGGAGGAGAAGGAGGAGGAGGAGGAGGAGGAGAAGCAAGAAGAAGCAAGAAGCAAGTCAAAGAGAGCCCTGAACTCACCCGAGAAGTACCCACTCGACCCAGTGAAGCTTGTCGGCCAACATGGAGTACTTGTAGTCGGGGATGACGATGATGGTGAAGATGACCGTGAGAACGAGCAGCTGCAGCCCGTTGGCAACGAAGATGATGATGGGTGAGGCAAGGAAGCAAACTGGTGTGAGGAGGAGGAGGAGGCAGGAGTGTCAGAAACCTGCCCCGCTACGTCATCAACAGCAAATCTGCTCACAGAAACGATCGACAGCTCGCATCTCCTTGTGGTTGAACCGCTGAGTCACAGGCTGAAGAGCCTTGCAGCTGCCGTCCAGGGTCAGAGGGGAAGAGACACACAAGGTTGTCGTCGGGGGCAGGAGGGACTGAGGGCAAGAGAGTCGTCGGGGGCAGGAGGGACTGAGGGCAAGAGAGTCGTCGGGGGCAGGAGGGACTGAGGGGAAGAGAGTCGTCGGGGGCAGGAGGGACTGACATGAAGTCTTGGGCCTCGTGCTTGAAGTGGAACTCGAATCCAAGGAACTCAAGGAATCCCCATCCTTGGAACATGGCAGGGATGCCGAACATGATGGTGCCGGCCAGGACGGACAGGAAGGAGGTGGAGGTTGCGAGGTCGCCGTGGAAGCTGCTGATGATGGTTGGCGCGCAGCAAGTCTCAAGGAACCTGTCCGAGTCGCTCAGAACCGCCAGGTCGACGAGCGTCTTGTCTCGGAAGATTCTAGCACGGATATTGAGCGCCTGCGCGTTGAGTCAGAGGACGAGGACGAGGACGAGGACGAGGACGAGGACGAGGACGAGGAGGCAACAGCGGCGGCGGCGGCGGCGGCGGAAGCAGCAGCATGATGGAGGAGTGAGGTTGCTTACGCTCGCTACACCAAAAGAGCTCTTCTGGGCCTTGTCGTTGTCGACGGCATGTTGGTAGACCCTGATGGCTTTTTGTTCAAAGTTGTCGGCTGTGGTCTGGTAGAGCTTCTTCATGGCAGCGTTCAGATGTCTTCCCTCCGACTTCTTGCGGAAGTAGAAAGCGGCCTAACGGCGACAGTGAGCAGGTAGGAGAGCAAGTAAGGGATGGAAAGAAAGAAACAGACTGTACATGATCAAGAATAAACGTAAGCAGTGGGAGGAGAAAACCAAAATCAACATGACGTCCGACAAAACCCAAGCAGCAGCAGCAGCAGCAGCAGCAGCAGCAGCAGCAGCAGCAGCAGCAGCAGCAGCAGCAGCAGCAGCAGCAGCAGCAGCAGCAGCAAGGAGGATAAAGCAAGACCGTGATAGCGTAGATGATGGGGTTCATCGACTCAGCCCAGAAGATTCCAGTCTTGTCTACGTCAGGGATCCAGCGTCTCCAGATGAGGACGGCGAGGTCCACCTTGTCACAGGCGATAGTAGACAGGAACAAGTCCGCGAAGGGGCCGTCAGCGCCGAGATGGTAGGTGAAGGACGAGTCGCAGATGGACTTGAAGTGAGCCTCGAGGAGTTGTTGTTTCGTGATGAGCTCTGTTATCAGCCACTTCTTCTCAAAGTCTCCTTGCAGCGGCAGGGTGCTGGTGTATCCTCGGAGATTCAAGGAGTGGAACCATGGCTCCTTCACCTCCCACTTCTCGCTCACCCGTTGGGCAGGACCAGACGCTGTGGAAGGAGACGCCTTGGAAGGAGGAGGAGGAGGAGGAGCCGTAAGGATGGCGTTGAGACGCTTCAGGGAGCTCAAGGCTTCCAGCGACCCGTCTTTGAGTGCTTGCTCCAACGTCGTCCAGGAGATGTTGACGAACTGAAGGTATGGCAGCTCTGCTAGCAAGAGCTCGATCACCTGGGTCGAGGAATGCCGGAACGCTTCTACGAAGTTTTCCTCCAGAGACGCGAAGAAAGAGCCTTTGATCTCCAAGTCCTCCAGCCCTTGCCGCAGAAGCCTCGACAGCACGCGGGGACTTTGGAACTTGATCGCCATCGAGAGCCTCTGGTGGAAAAGATCGCCTGCCCCTCCTGACGGACTCTTGCTCATGTGCTCCAAGATACATTCCAGCATTGCGTCCTTGAAATCTCCCTCCTTGTGTGCGGCTCTGAGGTCGAACATACAGCAGCTGCCGCTGCCCGCTATGGCGCTCACCTCGTCCAGGAGCCTCAAGGCGTCGCTGTGTGTGTTGAGATTCGCAACCAGGTGGTACTGCTTCAGAGTCTCCATCACATTGCTTGCTGACCTCTGTCCTTGCAGACATTCTCTGAGTAAGACCTGCCTTGGATGTAGCTCCTGCAGTTCTTGCTTCCTCAGCCGAAGAGCGTCGCTGATAAGATCGGCTGCCCTCCCGCTGCCATTCACCACCAGGCAGGGAGTGTTTGCTTTGATAGCATCGTACAGAGTCTTCACTGAGAAAAAGTCATCAAACTTCTCATCGACATCTGCATGAGGCTACCTGACCCTTCCCCTCCTTGAACACAGATTGAGATCACAGGAATCGTTTGCGAGCGACCTTCTATGAGGGGGCTTTGGAGGTTTGCTTTGTCTTTGATCGCGCTTTCTAGGTTTGCTCTGAAAGTTGTTTCCTCCCCAAAACGTTCCTCATCCTTCAACCTGCCATTGTTGATCTTCTTGTCCACCAGAATGAAGTGCGAGTGGTTGAAGTCCTGCGGGAAACATGGCGAGAGTGGTGAGTTGAGGTGCAAACATGAACATCGCAACAAGCAAGACAAGAGCAACAGTCGGGAGTTATGCTCATGAAGATTGGAAGGAATTCATCACGACAACTCACCAGCATTTCTTTATTCGGTCCATTGGTTTGAAGCACACTAAACGAGCTGTGCGAGTTGACAGAGAAGGAGTTGTAGATGGGCTTCTCTTCCTGCTTGCCGTTGGGTGTCTGCAACAAGGAAACTCCTTTCAACCTCACATCAGATCACTCGCAACTGAGACCTTTGACGTTGTGAGCACTTCGCTCCCCTTCACAACAGCCTGAGGTACGATCCCGAGCAGGTTGATGCTCATCTCATACTTGGCTCGCGCCTCTCCCACGTACCTAGACATCGTCAACCATGGAGCAAGGCCTGTCTCGCCTACTTCATGATGCCCGAGTGAGTTCCTCCGGTAACCACCAGCGGCTTCAGGTGCTTCAACCCCAGCACTACATCTCGCATGATCAACTCCTTGTGCTTGAAACTGAGGTCGAAGTACTTGGCCTGCCATCATCGTCGCTCACAAGAAACTCCCGCGAGCTCCTCATCTCACCCCTCCTGTCACAGACACGATGATCCCTGACTCAGTCAGACTCTTCCAGCCCTCGGATCTCGTCATGGCTTCCAGCACCGCCTGGGCGAACCTGGTCTCATCGACCTGGTCGCTCGAGACGACCATGAAGTGAGCGGGACTGCAGAGGTTATGCTCGCACCACTCGAAAGTCCCTGACTCAGGGCGAACCTCGGGGTCACGAGAGGTATTGGAGCCCGAGGATGCTGTGTCGGTCCATATGGGATGATGGAGACAGATGTCACCAGTAACACCTGGATACTTGTCGGATGAGGGAGATTGCTGATATGGATTCCCTTCTGAAAAACCTATCCCTGCTTGCATCTCTTTTGGCCGGATCATGATCGACCTGTCTCGACATGGTAAGATTGCGAGCTTTCATTCTAAGAACCCTTGAGAATATCCGCCAATCGATCCCACAACATCCCTCCCCTTCCCCGCCCTCTCCCCACACACGTCCATTTCTCTGTCCCTCTCCTCCACCATCTCTCCTCTCGGATCCTCTAGTGTACAATAAAAAAGAGATGCGGCTAGTCGGCTACCCTACCCCCTCTTTTCCCCTGGACCACCCCTCAAATCATAGTCTTGCGCCCCTCACTCCTCCAAGGGATGACCAGCATCACTCAATTCACCATGAGACGTAGTGCCGCCCCTCATCCCCTCTCAGTGCCGCTGCTAACTGTGCCCCTCATCCCCTCTGAGTGGTCACCAGTAGTGTCGCTCTCAGCCATGCCTTCATCCCGGCGGGATCAGTGGCCCGGCGGCGCGCACCGTCAGCCTGTGAGGCGTCACTAGTACCAGTGCCATGCATGATGAAGAGGGCCGCCCGGCATACTCGGACCGTACAGTCAGCGGCAGACCGAGCTGCCACTGGGCCGGCCCCGGCCCGGGTCACCGTGTGACAAGTCGACCGGGATCGCACTGCATGCCACCGCCAGCTGAGCCGCCGCCGCCGCGTGCCAGTCAGCTAGAGCGCCGAGTTAACAAAACTCTCCTGTAAATCCAGACGCGCCGTGTGAGACGAAGAGGAGGCCTTCCTATTCCTACTCGGAGTCTTGCTAAGGTCCTCTCACTGAGTCATGTCGGGACTCACGGTGCCGCTTGGGTTCCGACAAGCCAAGTTGCAGCTGAGGTCGATACTTCATATCATCGGATGTCTGCATCACTTTGTCAGAGTACAAGGCCCGTTTCCCGCCGGCTCCCAGATTCCAGATTCCAGATTTTTTCATACAAATATCATAGTAACTGAGTCAATCAAGTTCTTTTTTTTCTCCTCCAAATGTTCAGTGGGAGAACTCAACTATAAGTCATTTTAATTTGAGAATGAAACGATGCGGTTGACTTTCCCAGTTTTTGCTTTTCGAATGGGCAGGCACTATATATGTTGAAATATACTATCAGCTCAATCGAGAAAAATTGTTAGAATGTAGGGAGGGTACGCTGGGAGCATCAAATATGAACAGGCAGTGGACCCACCCCCTGTCAGTATGTATTGAAAGCACCGGTGAATATTTCGGGGTAAATTTCAAATCACTTTCAATAAAGTAAAAAATCTGGAATCTGGGAGCCGGCGGGAAACGGCCCCAAGTCTAACCAATTCAGGCTGTGCCGGACTGTGCTCTCCGTCGCCGCACTGGCCGCCTGAGCGGCCGCTCGAATGGTCGACTCCGAGTCAGTACCGTACCGTTCGGTGCCAGAGTCCTTGCCAGTACGGCGGCCCCGCCCCCGGGGATGATCAACCGTCATTATCAGTGTGACTCAGGCTTCGACGGTAAACTTTTCAAATTTCTTCAGCTTTATGAGCCGCCAGGCTCACAAGTTATTTCAGTGAGGGATGCCGGCGCCGGGCTCGGACGGTCGGACGAGTAGTAGTACCGGCCCGCCGGGCACCCCCGGACCTCTTGACGGCACCGTCCACTGCACTTGAACATACGGCCCTTCCATCCTGGCTCACGTACCCCTTGCAGCCCACACCCACCTCTAATTGTCCATACCCCACCCCTAAGGAGTGTATCCCTCTTTCTTATGGTATTTACCCCACCCTTTGTCTTCTTACAAAGAAGTGACGAGTAATCAGGCGACCTACCACCGGTACTTGAAATCACCCCCACCCCCTATTCCCAACACATGACCACCAGCCTGACATCAGGCTACCCCCTTCGTCACCCCTCGATGAAAAGTCAAGATCCTGGTCCAGAAGGGGTGGGGTATATGACCCTACCCCCAATTCGTCCCGTATGCATCCAGCGTTCTCCTCGTTCCCTACCCACCCCTTATTATAAATTGAACCAGGAAAAAGGGGGTACTAAACCCCCGGGTTGCAGCTTCACCACCCCAACTCGATTTTTCACCCCTGACTTCCCCTTCCTAACTCTTGAAATACGGGGTGGGGTGATATACCCCCCCTTCCTCGCTACCCTCATCTTTTCAACAACTACCCCCGTAAATAAAGCAAAATTTCTTCGCCGAGCGGGGGTGCTCTATGACCCCCACCCCCTCTCTGGTCGACCTGACGGGTTTCTTTATATAAGGGGTGTGCCCTCCTCGTTCCCACACACCGCCATGCTCCGATCAACCATCTTGGCTGCCGTCGCTGCCTCCGCTGCCGCCTTTACTGCGCCAGCTGGCTTCCTCAGGCCCTCTGCTCGTAAGGATACCCTCCTTCGTTCATTGTGTGTTCATGAGATGCGCGTGCTCGGACCGCTGCAGGGCATGTTGCTTTGACAGAGGGAAAGTTGACTGGTTTTCATATTGCAAGGGAGATGGTTCTGTTGATTGATAGATCCTCATATCAAGATGCATTTTGATTTCATCACTGTGTATTTTCTCATGCGTTCTGTTTGTTTTCCAAGTTCTATCATGCTGTTGTAGTTGGCATGTGACAGTTGGATGGTCTTGTTGTGCGCTCGATGGTAACATGTTTGCATCAGGCGTTGCTGCCAAGAATGGCCCTACCATGCAGCTGTACAGGGATGGACAGCTCCAGGGACTTGGCGTGATCGCCATCCCGGGAACTGAGCGCCCCAAGAACTTGGATGGAACCCTCGTTGGAGACGTCGGCTTTGACCCGCTCGGTGAGTTTGCAGTAGCCCGGTGTATCGCAATGCTGACCAGTCTGACAGGATTCTCTAATTGGCTCAACCTGTATTGGGCCCGCGAGGCCGAGATCAAGCACGGACGTGTTGCCATGCTTGCCGCGACCGGAATGATCGTGCAGGACTTGTACAAGTTCCCCGGAGTTCAGAAGACCTTCGGTGATGCCGCCATGATGAAGCTCCACAACCTCGCCGTTGAGCAGGGAGCCATGCAGCAGCTCCTGCTCTGGTTGGGTCTCCTTGAGATCCTCACCGGCCTCCCCGCCGTCATCCAGGGCCTTAAGGGCTCCGAGCGCACCCCTGGTGACTTCGGATTCGATCCCCTCGGCTGCGGCCGCAACCCCGAGACTCTCGCTCGCCGCCAGCTCACTGAGCTCAAGAACGGACGCCTTGCCATGATCGCTGTCGGCGGCATGGTTCACCACTACCTCCTCGTCGGCCGCGGACCCATCGAGTTCATCAAGAACATCCCCAACTTCAAGAACCCCCTCCCCCCTTTCTAAGTCGCTGTAGCAGATTTTTAGGCGTTGATTTATTGAAATAGTCACTCAAAACTGATTTAACTTAAGTGCTATGAGTCTTGAGGAGATTCATGTTGCGACGATGATGCCTGTGTTGACGAGGGTTTGGACCAGATGCTTGTGTCGCACGTGAACATACATTTACTGCAACTAATCGTTCCAACCCGTTACCTCGAGTGTCGTGTATTCTTACGGCCCTCCCTCACCAAAGGCGATATCCCTCGTAGATTACTTGCAGCCTCGTCCTCTCTATCAGCAAGCTCTCCTCGCTCAACGACGTATCCTTCTCCTCCTTCAATCTCCTCATCGACTGCTGCAACTGGTACCCCTGAGGAAAGGGAGGCTTGAACCGGTGCAGCCTCCTCCTCTGCTCCTCCACCTCCTCTCCCTGCGCCCGCTCTGGGTCGGTCTCTCGGAGGAGGGCGATGCGGTCGGTGAAGTTGGCCCGCATGTTGGCGATGAGGAGCGGATCGGCCTCGACATGGATGCGAAGCCTTGTGCGTGCTGAGCCAAGGGAGTTGGCGACAGTGACCTGGAGGGAGTGAGGTCAGAGAGACAGAGAGGAGGGGAGAGGAGGGAGCGGCAAGGGGAGACAAGGAGGGAGTTGATCTACACATGAGACTGGGGACGACGTGGAGCGAGTGGAAGGAGGAGGAGCAGATACAGAGACGAAGCAAGTGGAAGGGATGGTCAGGAGAAGAAGTGCAGAGAAGTGCAGAGGGAGAGGGAAGGGAGGGAGCGAACTGTCCAGGAGGCGTTACCTCGAAGTGCCCGTCTGACTCGACCTTGGGTACCCCGTGAATGGCACCGGAATGAGCATCGAGGAAGAGGCCGTCGCAGAGGTCAGGGAGTACACGGAACGACAGCTTCTCCTCCTCCTCCATCCAACGCTGCGAGTCCCATCGCTCCCCGTTCACGAGGGGGCAGGGGACGTTGACCTCCGAGTTGGTCAGGCAGCTGACGGCGTCCTGTTCGTACTTGAGGTCGACGGGGATGTTTGCTGCATGCTTCTTGTCAAAGTGCATGATGGAGAGGATCTTTTGTGACAGTCCCTCCAGCTCCTTCAGCTTCTCCTCCTCCCCCACTGACGCCAGCAGGAACCTTGCCTCCTGCGCTGCCCCCTGCGCGCTCCACACGTCTCCCTTCCCCTTGAGGAGGAGGCCACCTCCGTCCCCGCTCTTGTCGTCCCCTCCCTGTTCGATCCTCAGCGACCCCAGCAGCTTCAGCGCCGCGTCGAGCTTGTTCAGCCCCTTCCTCCTCGTCTCCTCGACTCTCCCTGCTATCAGCTCCTCTACCCTCGCCAGCTTCTGCTCGAACGATCGCGCAAAGGAGGATCGGCAGAGGACGAGCGCGCGGCCTATGGAGTTGTAAGGGAAGGGGAGTGAGGGCAGACGAGGAGATAGAAGACATTAGGAGAGCATGGCGCATTAATGGCAGGCAACACAAGCACGCGAAGCTTTGCGGGAAAGCAGAATAGGGGAAGAGGAAGTGGTAGTGGTGGTGGTGGTGGAGGAGGAGGAGAGGGAGAAGGAGGAGTCTTGGGTTGGAGACGAGGAGGATGGATAGGCAGCACCTGCCACCTGACGGGCCTGATCAAACATGAAGCATTTGACGGCGCTGTCCACCTGCAAACTCATCTGCCGGACTTGCTCCTGTCCCATCTCGCAGGAACGGATCATTTGCAGGAAGTCGTCGACCTTGTTCTTGCTCAGAGTTCTCAGCGTAAAGAAAGGAGTCTCTTCCTCTTCCAGCATCCGCAGCGCTGCTCTGATCCCTTCCTCGTCCCAGAGGCGTTCGGGCCTTCTCCTCCTGCCCTCCTGCTCCTCCTGCTCCTCCTGCCCTTCCTCCTCCTCACTCTCTCTTGCTTCTTCCTCGTCCACGTCTTCCTCGCCAGAGGAGAAGAGATCCGTGTCATTCCTCCTCGCAGCATCCCATGTGCGCCTCTCCTCCGCGCTCATCGCTGCCTCCTCCTCTTCCTTGATCGCGTCCTCCCGCATGTACCTCCCGCTGACAGAGAAGTATCGGAAGACCACCTCCTTCTTCCGCTGCTCTGCCTTGGCTCTCTCCACCCCTCCCACTTGCTCCAGCGTCTCCCAACCTTCCGCTAGGCTCTCTCGAGCAAGCGAGAGGTCACCCTCCAGCAGGGCAGCAGCAGCGCCGTTGAGAGCCACGAGCGCCTCACGCACAATCCCTTCCTCCATGAGCAAGAGCCGAACTTCTGCCTCCTCTACCTCCCTCCTCCTCCGGTTGGCCGAGTGGCCAGCGCTCAACTCTGCGTGCGCGCTGACCAGCAGCTCTCTTGCGCTTCCCAGCTCCTTCCTGTCCATCGCCTCTGCTGCTTCCGCCAGCCGGCGGCCCCCCCGAGCATTTGCCTCCTCCGCCAGCTCGATCGACATTCTTAGAGCCTCTCGCTCATCGTTCAGCAGCGTCTCCTCCCCGATCTTCTCTACGATCATCCTGCTCCTCCTCAGCCGCTCCTTCGCCTCCTCGTAGCCCCCGGAGTACAGCTCGGCCCTTCCTTCCTCCAGCAGGACGACAGCAGCTGCCTTGCTCTGCGCAAACTCCTTGGCTACCAGCGCCTCCATGGCACAGAAGAGCCGGGCGTACATGAGGCGAGCAGGGGAGGAGCCTTTTCTGACCCTCCTCCAAGTGTCGATGATGATGATGGCAGCGAGGGAGCGGACGCGAAGGGCGACGAGGGCAGGACGGGAGTAGAGGATGTTCGCCTGTAAGATCCTCCTCCTCGCATCCTTGAGCAAGTCCGCGGCCCTTGACAGCTTTTCTTTGATCATCTCCTCCTGCTCGCTCGTGAGATCCTGGCGAGAAAGCGAGAGAGGGGGGTTGAAGGAGGAGGGAGGGAGGGAGAGGGAGGAAGGAGGAAGGAGGAGGAAAGAGGCTGGAGGAGGAAGTGGAGGAGGAGGGAGGAGGGAGGAGGGAGGAGGGAGGAGGGAGGAGGAGGGAGGAAGTGGGGGGAATTGGGAGGAGGAGGAGGAGGAGGAGGAGGATTTGTTGAAAATGTGCTGAGTCACCTCTGCCTTGACTATGAACTGATCGGCCATCCATCTCGCTTTCCTCCTTACCTCAATGGTGCTGACCATGAGCCTTCGTAGCTGATCCTGCATCTCCAACATGAAGCTCCGCTTCTGCTCCATGCATCAGGAGTGAGTGAATAGCGCCAAGGATAGAGAAGGAGGATAGAGGAGGAGGAGGATAGAGGAGGAGGAGGGAGGGATGGTGGTCGAGGTAGAGAGCGGGTAGCTGAGCAGGCAGCAGAGGAGGGTAATGGACGAAGAGGAGGATGAGCGGGAGATGGAGAAGAAGCGTCGGTGATGGGAAGGAGACAGAGGATGGAGAAGAGACGGGGGAAAAGAGGAGAGGAGGAAGGGGAGGGGATGAGATAAGCGTTGACCTTTTCTAGTGTGAGGACGACGAGATGGTCGGAGCTGTCAGACTTCTTGGCCTCTTGGAGGAGGGAATAGGACCGGTAGATCATCCTCTGAGTGCTGCGGTGGTCGACGTCGAACTCATCCCTTGCTCGCTCTGTCTTGCTGCTCTTCTTGATCGACTCAGCGATGAGCTGAAGAACTTCTGCATGTTTCTTCCCCCTCAGCCTGTTCCTCTCCTGTTCCCGGACAAGAGTTAATTTAATACCCCTGCTCTGCTCTGCTCTGCCGTGCTCTGCTCTGCTCTGCTCTGCTCTTGTCTCCTCTGCTCCTCTCTCGCTTTGTCTTGTCCTCCTCGCCTCTCCTCTCTCTCCCTTCTCCTCTCCTCACCATGACATAGCCCGTTATCTTCTCCATCTCCGCATGATCCATCTCCCCGCTCGAAGGGAAGTTGACGCCGATCGGAATACGCGAAGTCCTCCTGTACCAATTTCAATCTTTGGTTCCTCCTCCTGCTCCCTGCTCCCTTCTCCCTGCTCCCTCCTTCCTGCTGCTCTCCCTCCATTCTGCCCCGTGCACCTACCTCCTGCCTTTATCTCCCCTCTTCCCCTCGTTCTCCCCTCCTCCTCCTCCTCCTCCTCCTCCTCCTCCTCACTTGTGTGGAGCCATGTCCGAGTACCAATCCTCGGGAAAGGCGACCTGAGCCGAGTCAAGCGCTGAAGGTGAAGGGGAAGGAAGAGAAGGAAGAGGAAGAGGAGAGGAGAGGAGAGGAGAGGAGAGGAGAGGGAAGAGAAAAAGGATGGGGAGGATGGGAGGAGGAAATTTGACCATCACGACTGCATCGTAGCACTCGTCTTCTTCTGGATGCATGACCTGAAATGTAACTGTCAGAAGAGAGGTGGGGGGGAGGGGAGGAGAGAAAAAGGGGGCGTGGGGAGGAGGAAGAGGGAGGAGGGAAAGAGGGGAGGAGGAGGAGGGAGGGGAGGAGGGGAGGGAGGAGGGAGGAGGAGGAGGAGGAGGAA